CCTTGTAAATATCGGTTAACAGAATACATTGTTCATCAGATCATTAAACACCAATTCTGACACTGAGGCTGTACGTTTTGTTTCCACAGGCTACCCAGTATTCCTTGGACAAAAAACGCGTCCATGACAAACTAGGCGAGGCGTTTGCTGTTCAGGTTTGTACCTCAATGTATTAATGTGGAAATAAACTTCGCTGAATTTCACGTGTGTTCTACGTTGTTTCAGGCTGCGTTGAGTGCTACAAGGAATTTCTTTGACTTCTTCCATCTGTCGCCGCTAAAGGTAAGAAGTCCTTAATTGTAGCCGCCTTCTGGCTTGTATACAACAGAGTTATGATCTGTCCATCTAGTGATCGTACTAAGTTGTTCTGAGAAAAGTTCAAAGGTGTTAGTCTTTGGAAACCAGCTGCTTCTAGTGATCACCATGTCATATGGCTTGAGGCAACGCGGCAAACCATTATACCAGTCCTGGATTGTGTATGCCCCATTACACTTGGGCCCTGTCCACACTAATGCGTGTGGAGATCGGAGACATCTGAAAATAAAGTCCTTCTGTTTCAGTGTGGACGGAGCGTTACTCCTCATTCATAGGAGATCATTACAACATTTCTGGTCGCCCAGAGATCGCACAATGTTCCTTTCAATCCTCTTCTAGGAAAAAAGGCGATTTTCAAATGTACTATCTTCGTACCGAGTTTATCCTCTGTGGTTTTGGAATTTCTTTGTAACTCACAGTTAACCGGCCAATGAGAGAATGAAGCCTTCGGACACATCCTTGGTTGATTATTTAAGGGCTACTTCACGATTTGCGTGTCTTTATAAGTATAGCCTAAATTTTTCAAGTTCGTCCTTTGTAATCGGACTTAATCTTCTCCATCCTTGTTCCTTATTATTATCTGTTTGGCGTTTTTCTATATTAGTAAACTACTATTTTCAGGTTTCCTTCACTTTAATGGCAATTTTGCATGTGGCCAAAATGACGTGATTGAGCTCCTTTAATATTGATTCCCCGTACAGATTCATCTGAGTTTCTCTCAGCTGGGTGGTGGCGCAGGCGGTGATAAATCACAGACTCATATCGGCGGCAGTTTTCTGAGCCTGTTATTGCAAAGTGTTGGAGTAGCAGTCACTGAAGTACAGGACGTAGAATTCAAGTGAGTAACTGACCAAGGGAGTGCTTTTGCTATGCTTTTGGAGAACCTCTTTTGTTCGGTATAGTTTTGTAAGGTGTGTAATATTCGGATCAATTTGTTTAACGTTTTCTTCTCCCATCCATTTTCGCTTCCCCGCCCTTCCTCCCCACCTCCTCCCCCAGCCGATTATAGGTCTGAGGAGGAACAATCAAGCACTGTCAGTGTAATCGCCATAATTTTTCGTTCGTTTAGAGAGCAAAATTGCTACTGAACAAGGTGCCCTATTTCTGCCGCTGCCACTGGTCTATTAATACATTTACTATTTATTTGTGTAACCAAGGATTTGTCATTGAAGTACCGAGTTTGTTCTCGGGCCGAATCGTTTTGAAGAAACGTTGTGACATACTTTGTGAAGAGTTGTCTGAGCTTTTCTTTCGTCGTTGTAGGCTTGCGTATTTTGAAATTGAGGACAAAGTGTACACTCAACAGCAGTTGATGGACGTCGCTGTCAACCATTACTCGCGTCAGGTAAATAAATTGTATCTCTACAGTAAATCGTTGCGATCAATGTGGTTTTGATTAGTTGTGTAATTATATATTTTGGTGGTCACTATGTTTAAGCGGACAATTTTTACAATGATTCGGTAAAGCCTTGCTGGAGCACTCTTTAATTCACCCACCTTAAGATCTCTGGCCCTGGTTTATTGTAAAATCAGGTACCGTTTTATTTTTGGAATTTTTTGTGGGCTCTACAAACGCTATCTGTTAGACTCCACATAGAGGGCAATACTGTTATCAATTTAGCTTCCTTAGATCTGTGGCTTCTCGTTTTCCCTCAGCCATTCCAAAATGGTTTTATATAAGTGCACACTTATTAGTGTAGCCTTAATGTTCTCCAGTTTAAAACTTCACCTGCGTACAAATGGAGGTATAAGAAGTTCTTTCCGAGTAAGCCATGCCGTGTACATAACCGACTCCTATTGGTATCTCTAATCTGGCCTAATCTATCATCGGAGCTAAAGTTCTGACTAATATTTGTTATGTGTCTTGATTGTCAGGCTTTGAAGCAGATGTACGTGTTGGTGTTAGGCCTTGATGTGTTGGGAAATCCATTTGGTTTGATAACTGGCTTGAAGGAAGGTGCTGTAGACTTCTTTTACGAACCTTACCAGGTTGGTTAAACGGCTTATTTCCATTGTCTGGCGTAGATTTTGCTTTGTTCCTCTGGCTCAAAACCTAAGAGTCAACCAACGTTACGAGAAATGCTTGTGCTTGTAACTCTTTCGACAACCAATGTCTTAAGTCCTGGGTTTGCATTTTTGATATAATGGAAAGGGTTGGATCGCGGGGACGGCGGGGAAAAATTAAGTGATTTTCACCGACGGCTGCTCCTAGATGTTTTGGAAGTCGGTGAACTACCTCTGAAGATTTTTAATTTGTTTTTGCTTTTTTTTTTTCTTTTTGCAGGGTCTTATACAGGGACCTGGTGAGTTTGCAGAGGGTTTGGCGATTGGCGCTAGGAGTTTGTTTGGACACACAGTTGGTACGTTGATATGCATGTATCTTCAGTCTCTAATGCTAACATTCCTTTAATGTATTTTCAGTAATGTTTACTGCGTAATGTATTTTTTTCCCCGCATTTTCCTAACATGGTGGTAACCAGCTCGAAAGTCAATGGTTACTCTGGTTGCCACGCACATATTTTTTTTTATTCTTTCCATTACTATATACAATATATATTTCTCTTCTCATATTTATTTTTGATGTAAATTAATTCTGTAAATACTGCGCAATAAAAGTTGATTGATCGGTTGATTTCACCCTGGATAAGTTCTTGTAAAACGAGAGCGTTTCATTTGTCTTCCAGGTGGTGCGGCTGGCGCAGTCTCGCGAATAACTGGCACGCTGGGCAAAGGTATCGCGGCTCTCACAATGGACGAGAAACACAAACAGGAGAGGAGACAGGCCATGGGAAAGAAACCAGTCAATGTCAAAGAAGGGCTCACCAGGGGTGGGAAGGGATTGTTCGAGGTACGGGTTAACGTAGATTACCAATAGGGGATTCATTCTGACGTGCTGACGTCATTGTTTACATTTTTGCTCATTTGCATACGGCTTTGCATACAGAAGGAAACATGTTAGATATGAATTGACTCCAGGCAGCTTAAGAGGTAGTGAAACTTAATAAATGGTAAAAGTTTGGGCTCTTTGGGTGTAATATTCAAGGAGATATTGTCTTTCAAAAACTGCAAAATTTCTGGGTGGCAAAAGCGCTAATGAGCTCGTACATTCGTTGTAAAAATTTGAGTTTTTAAACCCGTGTTGCACAAAAAGTATCCAATACATGAGGCTCATATTCACTGGCAGAGTTAATCGTACTATGACCTTTCAATATTCAGAACTGATTTATTTGTAGCTCCATCAGAAACTGAATTGTTTATGCTAGTGAGGCAAATATTGTAAACAAGGATTCCTCTATAACCAGAATAAACACATCATTCCAAAACGTCCTATAGGTGTGTCGATCGAAGTAGGTTTTATTTATTTAATAGTTTTTAATTAAGCTATAAAGCATCACAATAAGACGAATTCAAAACAAGGAAAGCTAGAAGGGGGCTTATATCCGGGGCGGGGGGCTTTTGATCGGGATGTATTTTTTGGTTTACATGTAGATTGGCCTATAACCGGGGGCCTTATAAGCGAGGGGCTCATAAGCGGCCGTCTACGGTATTTTGTGAACCGAAGCAGCTCCCTGAGAGGGGCGTGGTCTGATTAAAATAGACCATCGACTGAGGTGTCCCCCAGGCTACCCTGAGGTTCTCCCCCCCCCGGGGTAGCAATAGAAAATGTACATGCCTGCGGGGAAAAGATCCACGTCGTGTACTGACTCATAGGTATTCCTGAGGTTCTCGACGTCAGCTTCGGCGAACCCGGCAGCTAAGAGATCATCAAATGAGTTCACCTTTGGTTCGATGTCACATTCCTCGCGGTTTCGAAATACCGTGTAACCCGGCATTCCACGCTCGTGCCCTCGTGCAATGTTAAGGGAAGCGAGATCAACCAAGTCGCCTGGACCTCTGCTAAGAGAGTTTTGTACACATTCGACGAGACATCTGGATTGAAAAAACAAAATGAACCCAGTTAATAACTTGTCGTTTTCACAGGAGTGTAAATGTTGGAGTGTAAACCGCACCTCCCGCCCCCCTCCCCCGCGACTTACAAGACAGGGTGAACGTGAAGCGGCCCAATCCTCCATGTGGGCCTAATGCCCTTCTCAAGGTACTTTTAGACCTGTCTTTCGAGTTCAGAAATCCGAGATTTTGAAGGGTCTAGATATAGCCAATCATATGAAGCGGACGTTACACGCATTTTTATCCTCCACAAAAAGCGCGTGGTAATATTATCGGCAGAAACTGAAGAACCGGGTACCATGTTCAAATTAAGCTTTAAGGGGATTGCCTTAGGAATAAGGCCTATATGGGGGATTATCTCTCTTACCGTTCAAAATCTCTTGACTACATATCTTACCGAAATAGTCACAAAACTAATCCACCCTAATTGTTCCAGACTCGTTTTGCAAAGCTACCCCCTAAGGTTTTCGTCTCGGGTTTTTTGCCCCACCCACCGTCCCATCAGGGACGCCCACTACTTTCGTCATCCATTTTCCGACAGTTTTTATGCCCCAGGAAAATTGTTTCTCCCATAGCGTTTTTCTGCCGGAGAGTGGGTCACCTATGCAGCAATGAAGAGACCTAATTCACGGACCAAAAAGGACGCAGGTATTGAATGGCTCCTATTTGAGTTGTAAAACGTTCAATTTGACGAATCAGGCCTTCCTCATTCTGAATTATTTGATTTATCAGTGGCAACATTTTGTCCGGTTGTTACTTCTTGTTCTTTGATTTATTAGATTTAATTTAACAGCTGTGCAGGAGGTTTTGTAACTAGGTAAGTAAGTTAGTAAGTAAAACGTTATCAATCTAGGTTGGCCCATTCAGCATCATGGCTGGTATCCCGAGGGACCCTGTAAGACGTTCGTGCCCTCTTACCTATCAATCGTTGCCGCTGGATCCTTCATCAAGCCTCTAAAAATGGAATCCACTGCCCCCTGGCACTTGTCGTATAAGTAGGTTGGGTTGCCAAAGTCGCATAGTGGGATAGGCAAGTACTCCAATTTCGCGTCGCAGTCGCATTTGTGCTCGAATCCTTCTTGAGTGAAGCGACTGAACTGGTTTTGAATCAGGCTGTGTCCAAATCGGTATGCAGCTACTGAGAAGGCGGTGGTCATTTGAGCGTTCACGGCTGGGTCGTAACCATTAAAAAACCGGGTTCCCCCCAGCAGCCTGAGATCAAACTGTCTGATCTAAATGTGAATAAAATTAAAACGGTCAAGTTTAGTCGGACGGGGGTGCTCGTGGGAAATTTTGAAAAGAACCCCCTAAGAGGTACCAAGATCCTGTTCGGGGGGCGCGGCTTGAATTTTTTTTTTCACCCCTTCGAGGTACCAATTTTAAAACAACACATTATCTCCTCCATTTTTTTTTTTTTTTTTTTTG